TGGCGGGGGGAGAGTCAGGGCTTCTGTACCTTCTCTATTAAGTTTTAAGGGGCTGAAATATCCTGGTGCCCCTGTAAATTGTGCCAGCTCCTCTAAGCAAGCAGCTGACCCAGGATTAGGAAGGTAGGAATGAAAGAAGGAAGGAGAGGAGGACAGAAGGGAAGGAGGAAGGAAGGAAGGTAGGAGTGAAGGGGCTTTCTAATTCAAGAGACCACTTTGTTTTATATGTTATTAATATATCCAGCTTCTAGTTGATAATAAAGCAGTAATGTTTATTTCCCTGTTAAATTCTCATCTCCTCCTTCTCTGTCTCCTTCTTCCTCCTCTTTTCTTTCCCTCTTCATCCTCTCCTCATTCTTTCCTCTTCCTCTCCTCCTCCTCCTTTCTTTCCACTGGGGTTTAACCTGTCAGGGCCTCTTTTCAGGACTGTTTGATCCATATTCTAGGTCTCTTTAACTTTAGGTTATTTTTTCCAGAAAAGGTTTCCTTCCCTACTACTCTCTCCACTAGGCTGGGATGTGATTCTCCCACGTATGCCTCCCTCATATGGAATTACAGAGGTGAACTTCCACACAAGCTAGTTTGATCAAAATGAACCTCACTCACTTTTTGCCTAGTTTGGTCTCAAATCACAATCCTCCCCAATCTCGGTCTCTTGAGTAAACTTACAGGCATGAGCCATCTCAGCCAGCCCTTAAATTCTAATCTGGTTAAATAGTCCTTAAAGCTGCATATAATCCTGAGTTAAATAGTCCTCAAAGCTGCATATAATCCTGAGAAGGGTGCACAACTAAGTTGCCCCCTGAGGTTGGATTTTAGAAATGTAACCATGGATGAGGTTGAGGCAAAAGAAGGTGTTGTAGAAACCCCAGCATCTGCTCTTCCACTTATACCTGTTGAAGCATTATTTGCAAGTAGGGGAGGACACCAAGACAATTGAGTTGTGATCTAATGCTGTATCTCACTTAGGAACCTCTGTCAGTCTTTCAACGATACCATGGAATAAGTCTAAGTATCTCCTTCACAGGAAACTAAAGTGTTTAGGAAGACAATGGTTTGCCTAAGTTCACACTGAAATGAGGGGCAGAGCTGGCCTTAATGAACATCTTCTATTATGCAAAGACACAAACTTAAAGTATGTAGGAGGTACCACTTTAAGCATCGGCTTGAGAGAGATTGCTTCGTGTTGGATTTATAGATCAGAAACACAACCTCTACGCCCACATCAGTCCAAGCCACTGGCAGGAGAAAGCTGGTCAGCCTACAAGGGCTGATGGGACATTTACCAGATCACCTGCATGCCCAGGGATCTGCTCTACCTCTAGAAAGGTGTCTGAAAAGAGATCTTGACATGGGAGTCCTTACTTTCTGTGAAAATACCTCCGTGTTCCAGTCAGAATTGTGACAATTTGAGTCTGGGTTGAGAAATGAACAAGTGATGAAAATTGTAAGACAAGTGTCAGAATTTGGTTGTGGCATGCTTCACAGGGTGACAGAGCAGTGAGAAAATTTCCATGCATTCAGCAATTTACTTTCCTATCAGCCACTCAATCAGGGGATAAACCTGCCTTCACAAATTGCAGGCAAAGCATTACTTAAGAGTTTTAGGCCACAGCATTCTCTGGAAGGAAATTACTCAGGGAATTTCTGCCCAGGGAAGGAGCTCTGGTTGGATTTGTACCATCTCATGAAAGCTGTATCTTTTTTCTGCCCCTCCCCCTTTTGTTTTTTGATTGGCTCAGGATGTTTTGCAACTCTATCACCCTGTGTGACATGTAATACACTGGGCTCTGGAAATGAGATCCATCTAGCCTGCTTCTCCTTTGGGAGATGGCTAGCTTCCTTATTTCCTATTTCTTTTCTTTCTTTTCTTTTTTTGCCACTCCTGGGGCTTGAACTCAGGGCCTGGGCACTGTCCCTGAGCTTCTTTTGCTCAAGGTTAGCACTCTAGCACTCGAGCCACAGCACCACTTCTGGCTTTTTCTGTTTATGTGGTATTGAGGAATCAAACCCATGGCTTCATGCATGCTAGGCAAGCACTCTACCACTAAGTCACATTCCCAGCCCCTTATTCCCTATTTCTGGGAAACTAAGTCTTAGGGAGGGGTCCATTCCTCCCTGGAGTTGTACACCCTGTCCAATGAGGTTTATTTAATAAGTTGTACATTCCCTCCGGAGTTGATATAAAAACTGGGCAGGCCAGGCTCTAATAGTTTAAGAACAACCAGATTTCTGTAGGAATGTGGGGAAGGGTCCAAATCAACCCATGAACGTTGAGGATTTTCATGCATCTGGTCTGCGTCTCCCCAGGGATTTTGGGTTCCATTCAAACCAAGCACAAGTTGGGAGGATTGAGCCAGGTAGTGATGATGGTGGTGTCTCACAAGCCTACAAATCAGATGGCTGTGGAGGGCACTGCACTTAAAGGACATCTGCCACTCTGCCTTTCTTTGTCCTCTCCGTGGGTGTCCAGGGGCAAACCCTCCAGTATCCTCCAAGAATATCGGTAATGACAAGGGTAAAACAGACATCTCTGATTTTACTGTGAACACTCTGATTTAGTCATTCATCCTGATGAGAAAGTGGGGCTTTGAAGGTACTTGTATAATCAAAGTCCAGTTTTTACAAAAAACAAACAAACTGAGATTGTGTAAGCAATGTTTTCAAACTCAGATGTGTCGAGGAACAGTGGCATAATGCAAACATAAAACCCAAACCCTTATAGTTTAATAGAAATGACCACTTTCCATGAAATTTTTGTTATTGTTTTGTGTTGGGTAAAAGTTGAAAATAAATGAAGCATTAGAAAATCAGATCTAATCAGTGATTGTAGAAGATTTTGTACAAACTACATGTACAGTTGTGGTCTTTGTCTGGGAATGGTTTAAGTGTCTGTATGATGATGATTGAAAGAAAAAAATTTATAGTGGGAAGAAGATAATTGTAGGACTCTGACATCAGCTTGTCACAAACATCAGTGGAGAGGAGTGTTAAAGCGTAAGTCTAGAACATTCCCAATGCACATATGCTACCAAGTGAAAAGTACACAAATCTGCACAAAGACAGAAGAACCCAGCTGCCCATTTGTTTCATAATTCCAGTCCAGGAAGATTACTACATGCTGCTGGTTGACTTAAATTACATTATTATCTGTCCTTGATGTTTGTTTCTAAGTGTTAGAATTTATCTCAGTGTTCAGATGTGTTATTCTAGCCAAACCAGACTTAATTTTGGGGTTAATCTCACTCCCTATGCCTAATCAGAAGCAGGTATTATATTTAGTCCTTGACTAACAGGAAAAGAGCCAGGTGACATGCTCTTCTTGGCTCCGTCAATATTGTGAGATGCTCTCTTTCACCTTCAGACTCTAGGTGGAATATTTTATTGTGTGATTTTTATATCCCTTAATAGGGAGTATATATCTCTCCCAGGGATACATCTACATCCATAAACATCAATCACTGGTGTTTTTAAGGTCCTCTGAACATTAAATAACCACAGTGAGAACATCCTGGATTAAAGAAGAAATCTCAACCAGAACTTGATTGATATCAGGTATCCAAGATCTATCTCAGGGATCCAGGCCACTGATAGGAAAGAGCGAGTTCCTCCTCTAGAGTCTATTTCAGGCATAAAATATTAAGTAAGAATTCATAAGAGGCACACTACTCATCTTAAATCAATTCACCATGCTAGCAACCAAGGTTGAATGCAATTTGTGGTCTTTAGCTCTTATGCAGGAGAGAAGTAAAATTCTTAGATGGACCAGATTTTAAATGTGAAATATGACTGAATAGCTCCACAGTTCAAAGCATCACCTTCTTAGAGGTCAGCCTGCCTGGATGGAATCCCTGCCTGGGAAATCTTAGGCAAGGTTATTTAACTTCATCAGGCCCAGTTTCCTGATCTGTAAAATGGGGCAGATAGATAGATACATAGATAGATAGCTATATATATATATATTTATGAGAATTAAATAAGCTAACACATATAATGTGCTTAGTATATTGCCTGGAATCCAATAATAATAATTATTACCATCACCTATTGATATAGTATTACATAGTATTTGTTGTTATCAAGATCCTAGGTAAAAGGATTTGAATTATTTTAAAAAATTTAAATAATTTCCAGTTTTTACACAATACAGTTATCAGTGCATTTTATTCTCATTCTCTTTCTCTCTCTCCCTCCTCCCCTCTCTCTTTTAAAGCAGTCCTGGGGCTTGAAGTCAGGGCCTGGGCACTGTCCCTGAGCTTTTTTGCTTAAGACTAGCACTCTACCGCTTGGGCCACAGCTCCACTTCTGGCTTCAGAAAAAAGTTAATTTGAGATAAGAGAGTCACAGAACTTTCTGCCTGGGGCTGGCTTCAAACTACAACCATCAGATCTCTTCCTCCTGAGCAGCTAAGATTAGAGGTATGAGTCACACTCTCTTTTGCAATAAAAATTAGACCCAACCACCTTGGACCTTAAGCCATACACATGATGTTGAACTTGACAAGGCCTCTTATCCTTAGGATAAAAGCATTCCAGCGTGGCTGAAGTGCATAGTATCTTGTATCATGGATGTCAAGCCCTTTATCCACAAGGGGGAAGCCTGAGGCCTGACCAAGGCGAGGTGAGGAGGTCACATATGGGGTATGGTGGGTGGAAGGGAGCTCCAAGATCAACCTTTCCTTACCTCTCCTTGCTTTGACCTTTAACATTCTCTAACACCTTGTGGGGTTTTGTTTGTTTGTTTTGTTTTTATGCTGGTCCTGGGGCTTGAACTTAGAGCTTAGGCCCTGTCCCTGAGCTTCTTTTGCAGTTTATGAGACTCATGTACTTTCCTGCTTAGACTTGCTTTGAACAATTATCCTCAGATTTCAGTGCTCTTGAGTAGTTAGGATTACAGGTGTGAGCCACTTGTACCCAGCTAACACACACACACACACACACACACACACACACACACACACACACCAGCAGCAGGAGACTGCCTCTCAGATTTCTCCATACCTGTTTAGAAGATGAACTGCTTGAATGCCAGGATCTCTCATTTGTGTCTTGTCCCCAAAACTGATCTCGTTTCTTCTCACTTGGTTCTTTTCTTTCATGTCGTCTCAAACAAGCCTAGGGAACAGAAACACTGATTTGTCTTTGGTCTACGAATAGTTTGTTAAACATTAGGCTTAACTCCACTTGCAAAGAACATGAGATTAATGATACCCATTTCCAAGAATTCACCAAGTATTTTGGATTAGATTTCTCATCAATGAATCCAAACAAACAACATAAAAGATATATTTTTTCAATGCTGGCTCCTGAGAGTTTAAAATCCATGGTTGCTTGGTCCTGTGGGCTCAGGCAGAGCATCATGGCAGCAGAAATGTGTGGGCAGAGGAGATTCATCACCTCATGGCAGACAGGAAGTGGAGCATGAGAAAGGAACTCGGGACCAGGTATCACTTTCAAAGACATAGTCCCAGTGACCTGCTTCTCCCAGCTAGCTCTCCTTCCCAAAGTTTCTACCACTTCTCAAAACAGTATCACCACATGAGTGTTACCAAATGTAAAAACCAAGAATCACCATCCCTTTCTTTTGCCTAAAATGCCTGCCACTGCTTTAAGTAAATTCAGATGATAAGTACACTCAGGGGCATCTGGTCAAAAAGTCATCTTCTCAGGGAAGGTTATACCTAATACATTGTATTAGTTTCTCCTTTCAGCCTCTTGAACTTCTTCCAACTTACAGAAGAATTTCTATACTTGATAGCTTTAGCATATACCGTTCCCTTTGCTAAGAATAACCACCCTAAGATGTTTGTTTGGTCAATCCTGTTGATTACTAAGAAGCAACTCATGTCAATCCCCTTTAGCTTTCCTCAACATACTACTCTTCTCTGGGCTGAATTAATTGCTGAAGAAGCAGTGCATAGCAGTACCCATCCTATATCTGCATTTTAGAGTCCTATAGTTTCAGCTGCCCATGCTCAATCTTCATCCAAAAACATCAAATAGAAGATTCTAGAAACACAAAGTTCATAAATCTCAAACTTTGTACCATTCTGAGCAGCAGGAGTTAATCTTACTTGGTTTCACTACCAGATATAACAATATATAGGGTTATTATTATTTATAGTATCAGTATCCACTAAGGGCTCTGAATGTATCACCTATGGATAAAAGAGAACTAGCATATATTAACACAAGCAAATATACATAACCTGAGCTCTAAGTTTTATACTGTATAACTATTTATGCTATAGTTAGTTGGCTTAGTTTTTTAGCCCATTCTTCCTGCTGATCAGTGAGCATCCTACCTTTTGAAAAATACCCTAGGCACCTGGCACTTAATATTAGTTGAATTATATTTTTCCTTTGGCATAAAACATCACTCCTTAAGTACAAAATAATTTTTAAAAACAACCCAAATAATTTCCCCATCTTCCTTAGCTAATTAAAATAAAATCTGGTACCCAATATTTTTCCTCCAGTATGAAGACTGAACAATGTTCTAAATAGTACTCAAGTACTCCTAAATAGTAACATTTCCTGGGAGTATTTTCAATGATCTAATTCACCATTTTTTCCCCAGTCCTGGGACTTGAACTCAAGGGCCTGGTTGCTGTTCCTGAGCCTCTTTCATGCTCAAGGCTAGTGCTCTACCATTTGAGTGACTTTGGGCTTTTTCTGAGTAGTTTATTGGAGATAAGAGTCTTATGGACCTTCCTGCCCAGGCTGGCTTGGAACCACGATCCTCACATCTCAGCCTCCTGAATAGCTAGGATTACAGATGTGAGCTACCAGTGCCCAGCTCTAATTCACCTTTGATCTAACAGGGTCAAGTTCTCTATGGTCATAGTAAAGAAAATTGGGCAAAGATCAACATTATATTGTCACTACAGTAGACTTGCCATCTTTCCCTTTCCTAGCTGAGTTAAGACAGGAAAGATTTCCTGGGCTGCTTTTTTTTTTTTTTCCAACTTCTGTTAGAAAAGGCATTTCCCTCTGGGATGTAGGAGGACTTAATAGAATTTCACACTACAGGGAAAGCCCATAAGGTTATGATCCCAAGGTTAAGAATAGAAATGACCAGATACTGCAGAATAGTAACTACCCAGAATTGGGAACAGTTAGTCATGCTGAGCTTCACAACTGAATTGCAGGTGAAGCCTGGGCCTCTAGCTTGTTCAAACAAGCGATCACCTGTGGTCTGTGGAATCCTGGATACTGGTAGAACGATGCTGATCTATCTGCCTTGTTAGTAAAGGGAGAACCCTCCAAAACTGTTTGTTTCTCTGCCTTGCAGCACATTTAATTTCAAAAAATATGTTACACAGATAGTAAATCACTTCAATAAATACTGAGCTGTGTTTGTTTCCATAACATAAGCAAGAAATATCCAAGAGTAGTAGACAGTAATGGTAACAAATAAGTACAAGAAATAAACAACACAGAATAAAGCAGCCAAGGTGAATCTAAAGAGCTTTAATAGTTTAACAAAATAGGAGCCCCATTTTGAGCTATTCCTCCGCCATGATGTCAAAGCAGAGCTGCGTGTGGAGGGCTGTTTCCTGGCAGATGTCTGTGTCACCTTAACCTACTCGCTTGAAAGGCAGATTGTGGCTGGGCTGAAAGTGGAGGAGCCAGTGTGAACAAATGTACACAAGACCAAGGCAGATTTTGTGGGATGAACCGAATTTTTGTGGGCTGAAAATTTTTTTTAGAAAAAAATTACCTCCAAGAATGCATACAACTTAAATATGTGTATATATATTACGCAAAGGGGTGGAAGAATAGATTGGTTTATACCATTGAGGGGGAAGGAGAGGGACAGTAATCTTTCTCTTCCGGTTCCTTTTTCTTCCTTCCAGATTACTGGGACAAACCAACAAGTTGGCAAGGCAGGTTCTTACTCATTTTTGTCTTAAGACAGCTGAGTGACCTTCATATAAATCAAACATGAATCCTCTCAAAGTTATGGCTCTGCTGACAAGGAATACAAAACAGAACCACCAGACATCCAGTCCTACAAAAAGCTGGCCATGTCCTCCTGGGGGTGGGGTGGGGTGATTTTCTTAGTGAATGAGTTTTTGTTGTTAATGATGATGTTACTCTGTGGGAGAGGGATCCTGAAGTGATCAGGCAGACTTTTGGCCCCAGAGCTGATGGATTGGTCATTCACAACCACTTGTGGCTTCCTTCCCCTTTGATTCCATGTGTCAGTCTTTAGAGGAATCCATTAAATGAATGTCTGGTGTGTGGCAAGACCATCAGAGGGCAGTCTTGGAACTAAAGGCTTCGGGTAACTTGGTATTTCTTCCTTCTGGGAGGAGCAGGTCTTTCTCCTAGGGGTCTCCCTTGGTGGGCTCCCTGCTCTGCCACACCAGCTCGTGCCTCTGAGGACAGCACACGCAGCCAGGCTGCGCAGAAGCTTCCACAGTGGGGGCAAACTGCAGAATGTGCATAGCTGCCTGCGGGGGATGGCGTGGGCTTCATGACTCACTGCAACTCAATCCTGATAAACACGACAAACCCCAGCCCTGCCACTTTCTAGCACTGAGTCCTTGGGCAAGATAGCGTCATGGAGAGTCATCTGTAATAAGATAAAGACGTCTCTGTGTAGTGAGACTGTTTCTCTTGTCAGTCATGTTAGCAGTGACTGGCCCATGGTGAAGGTTCAGTAAAAGGTTCCCATGAGCATCACCATCACCACCACCACCACCATCAGCAGCATCACGCAGTTTTTAGTCCAGCATGGTTTACTTCCATTTCTAAAATCACCCTTTGCCAAAGCATGTGACCATGATCTTGTTCCTAGAAGAAAGAGCCTTTCTGTCTGAGTCTGAGAAACACTCTTCCTCTGTAATGAGAAGTCTGTTTCCCATCCCCCAAATCCCCCAGGCAGCCAGGGTCTCTCTCCTGCACGCAGTGATTCACCGTCCCACTGTAAGACACTTTTTCTTTGGATGACAGCTTTCTGAGCCCACAGTTGTACTCAGAGGTTCTTTTTTAATTACCAGTACGCTCCTTCCAATCATCCTCCTGACTCAGGATGACTTAAGAAGTCACGTGTGAGTGGGAGAAAAATGAGGAAGGGGATAACAAGTTTGACAAGAAATGTACTTACTACCTTGTGTCACAGTAACCCCTCTCTACCTCACCTTGACAAAACAAATTAAGTAAAAAAAAGTCATATGTGACTGTCATGACACATGCCTGGGGTCCCAGCTTCTCAGGAGGAAGAGGTAGGAAGATCAAGGTCCAGGGCAAGCCCCAGCAAAAGAGGGAGACCCTGCAGCAGAAACAAACTAAAACGGCAGGAAGACTTGGATGTGCCTCAAATGCCTGCCAAACAATTGAGAGGTCCTGAGTTCAAACTGTTCCAAAAAAATAAAAAGAGAAGTATGTGTCACAGGAATACTCCCCAGCTGCATGGTTCTGCTATACAAGAAATCATCATAAAAATGACCCAACTTTATACCTCAGTCAATAACAGCATCTAAAGACAGTCATTATTCTAACCTTATAGGCATTTGGGGAAGTTACCATCAACTTCGATTATTGTTTTTGTTGTTGTTTTGATCTACCTCAGAGTTTGGGGTTTTCATTACCCTTGGTAACATTATTAAAGTCCATTGGTTTTAAGAGGTAAGAAATTGAAGGCATAATACAATTTGACATGGGGTTCCCCTCCATTGGCTGTGAAGAATACAGGCATCGGTACTGCAGAGGTGAACCACTAAGAGAATCCTCTCCCTAATTTCTCTGGGGAGGGAAGTTGAATTACAGGTCAAGAATCTCTCATCTGAAAGATCAAAGTGTCTCAGAGTTTGGATTTCTTTTTCCAGATTTTGGAATATCTGCTTCGGTTTCACAATTTGCTAGCTTGACAATGAGATCCAAGTCTAAACACAGAATTTGTTTGTTTTTATATACTTAGTCATACAACCGAAAGGTAAATATACAATATTTAAAGAATTTTTTCTTCTTTCTTTTCTCCCTTCCTTCTTCTTATTCTTCCTCCCTTCCTTCTTCCTTTTCTTTCCCTCCCTCCTTCTCTCTTTTGTCCTTCCTTCCTCCTCCTTTTTGTTTCCTTTCTCTTCTTTTGCTTTCACTCTTTCTTCTTT